AGACTAAACGTGTGCCCTGAAATCTGGTCTGGGAAAAGAGACAGGGTATATTCTGCACAGGGTATATTACCTGGTCCATGTTAGAAGTGGTCCATTATCCCTGAGTGGGCAAGGCCTGGGGAATGGAATCTGACTCTGGTACTCAACTGGGGTCCTTGAGCTGGGGTTTGGGGCCAGTGCTTAACTCAACCTGGCCCTTATGCACAGATCGAGAAGAAGTTGGAGCCACTGTCCCAGGATGAAGACCAACATGCAGACCTGACCCGGAGCCGCCGCCCACTCACTGGCTGCACCATTTTTCTAGGATATACATCCAACCTCATCAGTTCAGGCATTCGTGAGACAATTCGCTACCTTGTGCAGCACAACATGGTGGGGACCTGGTGGGGCTGTGGCTTTGGCCTCTCTGGGTCTATGGGCAATACAGTTATTGATCATTTAAGTGAGATGGGTCTGTTTTAAACAGAAGGACAGAATCAAGTTTTGTTTTGCAGAAGAGCGATCTCCTAGGGCCAATGAAGGAGGGTGAGGTTAGAAGTGCAGCTCAGAATGAGGGCTGGGCCTTCCTTTTTGGGCTAACCTCGCTGCCTTCTGGCTACAGGTGGACATATTGGTGACCACAGCTGGAGGTGTGGAAGAGGATCTCATCAAGTGCCTGGCGCCCACCTACCTGGGCGAGTTCAGCCTCAGGGGAAAGGAGCTCAGGGAGAATGGGATCAACAGGTGGGAACCCTGGATGGTACTGGGCGGGGGACTGGCCCAGGGTCTTGGGTCTTGATGCCCACATACCTCCTGTCCCCAGGATTGGGAACCTGCTGGTGCCCAATGACAATTATTGCAAATTTGAGGACTGGCTAATGCCCATTCTGGACCAGATGGTGCTGGAGCAGAACACAGAGGTGGGGCTGGAGCCACCCTGAGGGGCCGGCATGGTGGGAGTTGGGGGGGAGGGTCCCGCCCACTTGGGCTTGGGTTGAAGCTCTTGTCTCCTTCTAGGGTGTGAAGTGGACACCTTCCAAGATGATCGCTAGGCTTGGCAAAGAGATCAACAACCCAGAATCGGTATATTACTGGGCCCAGAAGGTAAGGGGCCAGGTAGGGTCGAAGTTGCCAGACTTTGGTATGTGTTACTTTGTTCCATCTTTATGGCCATCTGGAGAGTCATCCCTGTACTCTTAGTATTCACTCTTTTTTTGTTTGCTTGTTTGTTTTGAGACAGAGCCTCAAGCTGTCCCCTGGGTAGAGTGCTATGGCATCACAGCTCACAGCAACTTCCAACTCCTGGGCTCAAGCGAGTCTTTTGCCTCCACCTTCCAAGTAGCTGGGACCACAGGTGCCTGCCACAATGCCCAGCTATTTTTTGGTTGCAGCCATCATTGTTGTTTGGCAGGCTCAGACTGGATTCCAACTCACCACCTTAGGTGTATGTGGCTGGTGCCTTAGCCACTTGAGCCACAGGCACTGAACCAAGCCTGGCCTTTTTTTTTTCTGAGACAGTTTTACTGTGTCACCCTCGGTAGAGTGCTGTGGTGTCACAGCTCACAGCAACCACCAACTCTTGAGCTTAAGTGATTCTCTTGCCTCAGCCTCCCAAGTGGCTGGGACTACAGGTGCCTGCCACAATGCCCAGCCTTTTTTTTTTTTTTTTTTGGTTGTAGTTGTCATTGTTGTTTAGCAGGCCCTGGGCCAGGTTTGAACTTGCCAGCCTGGGTGTATGTGGCTGGTGCCCTACCCACTGAGCTACAGGCACTGACCCCCTTTTTTTTTGAGACATAGTGTTACTCTGTTGCCTAGGCTAGAATGCTATGGTGTCATAGCTCACAGCAACCTCACACTGGGCTCAAGGGATCCTTTTGTATTAGCCTCCTGAGTACCTGGGACTATAGGCACCTGCCACAACACCTGGTTACTTTGTCTGTTTTTAGTAGAGATGAGGTCTTGCTCTTGCTTAAGCAATTCACCAGCCTCAGCCTCCCAGAATACTAAGATTACAGGCATGAGCTATCATGTGGCTTGTATCCCTACTCTTTTTTTTTTTT